TTCTATACTAATTTGTTTGTATTTATTATAGTCAGATGTAATTAAGAGTCACCTTTACATTATCTGGGCAGCATCATCGACAACCAAGGTGGATCCGATGCAGATGTGAGGGTGTGGATCAGCAAAGCAAGGGCTGCATTTCTACAATTGAATAATATCTGGGACTCCAAACAACTTTCAGCCAAAACCAAAATCAGGATTTTCAATACAAATGTCAAGACAGTTCTACTGTATGGAGTGGAAACTTGGAGACCTACAAAATCCATCATCCAGAAGATACAAGTGTTTATTAACAGTTGTCTACGCAAAGAACTTCGGATTTGTTGGCCAGACACTATCATCAACAACTTACTGTGGAAGAGAACAAACCAGATTCCAGTAGAGAAGTAAATCAGGAAGAAGCGGTGGAAGTGGATAGGACACACACTAAGAAACGCACCTAACTGTGTCATAAGACAAGCCCTCACATGGGACCCTCAAGGCAAAAGGAAAAGAGGAAGGTCAAAGAATACATTACACCGAGAAATAGAGAAAGATATGAGAAGAATGAACAAAAATTGGCCAGAACTGGAAAGCAAAGCCGAGGACAGAGTTGGTTGGAGAAAACTGGTTGGCGGCCTATGCTCCATTGGGGGTAACAGGCGTAAGTAAGTAAGTAAGTAATTAAGAGTATTCATTAAAAGATGACTTGCTCAACTTGTTCTTTTTTTTTCTGTTTATGTTAGTATTGAGTTTTTGTTTTTCAATGTTCATAGAGTTGTGTGTATAATTGTGGTGGAGTTTTTAATTCTCTCAGCTGAGAATGTTCTGTGGTTGTGCAGTACAAACTTTAGATAGAAAGAAGAAATGAAGAGTATTCGAATTTCTCCATGTGTATAACCTACGTAGGTTGTTCTGTTCAGTTCAAGCAGCATCAGGTCAATAATAGTAGCCAATCAAGATTGACGTTGACACAACAAGCTATCGAGGGAGGGGGTATACACACGGAGAAATTCGAATACTCTTCACTTCTCTATCTGGAGTTTGTACTGATGATGTGCTGTGTTCAGAAGTAGACTGATGATAGAAGCTTCACAGCCACAGAACATCAGAGAACGAAATACCTTCATAATCAGTCAAATCTGAGCAACAAATTTTCTCGCCACCATCTGACGATGTAGTGTATAATTGAGCGCTTTTATAGTAGTTACAACAGCTAAAACTTATCATCATATCAGTTTTTAGTTTAAAACTCAAAAAACAATCCTACTAGAAATGAATGGCTATTGATTGTTGGACAATGGACATTGAAGAATAAAACGAAGGGATTGCAAAATATTGGTAATTTTCATTAAATATTGTTGTAGTCAGTAGTTTTTGGTCATTTTTTCATTTGTTTCACAAGTAATTGCTGCGCAGTGAAGATTCCATTTCAAGCTTAAACTTATGTACCATGCACCAATTTGTTCTAGTAAAGATGATAATTTAATATTGTTGAGTTTTTGACCGACTAAGCCATTATTCACTCAGAAGTGACCAAATGTGAAGGCTACTTGGTCCTAAAGGATGAATGTTTATCGTTGGTCAATAAAAATGGATTTATTTCCTGAGGAGGAAGAATGTACATAAATGTACATAAATCTTGCTCAAGTAGTCGTATTTACCGCTTCACTTATCTCGAAGGTCTCATTAGTACTAATGGCTTGGTGACTGAAGAAATCTCACAGAAGGCTCGATTGGCTTTTGCCAACTTTTATCACTCACGGCGTAGGCGAAATATCCGTTCGCTAACCGAAGGATGGGTTTAGTGAGCAGCAGTTCACTCTGTCGTACCCTGTGACTGTGAAACATGGCCAGTAAGAGTAGAAGATATTCGTATGTTACTGGTTTTCGATCAAAGGTGTCTTCGAAGCATTGCTCATATATACTGGGACAACCGAGTGAGCAACGCTGTTATTAGGAAACGGGTGCTAAGTAAGAATGGCAGATCAATAGATAAAGTAATGAAACTTCATCAGTTCAGGTGGCTGGGACATGCGTTACGTATGCATAACCGCCAAGAGCTATGTTTTGTGGTGTAGGAGTAGGTTGGAAGAACGTTAGGTGCGGCCAAACCAAAACATGGCAGAAATCCATTAATCACTGACAACTGAATTGAATCATGTCAGTAAGTGTAAACTAACTGGTTGGGGTCTATGAGACGAAAGTCACCGATGGTTACAGAATTTGAATGACATGGCTCAAAATCGTTTGCAATGGCACAGATGCATCCCCTCTTTGTGTACTCTGAAATTTTAATCTTCTGAATTCCTCTTCACTTCTATCTTTCTCTTTTGAAATTTATTTCACTAACTTATATTTCTCGAATAATATCTTCAAACCCTAATCTTCTCCATTACCATTATTACTTCTACTATCTCTACCACTATGAGATTTGAACTGACAATCGTATCTCTGTGTTCTAATGTGATATGCCAACATGAACTTGTGTATGTACATGCAAAAGTTCTACGTTGTAACTGGCTGACTGATTGACTGCTCAAATAGTCTCAGTTTAGACGGTTTAGCATGTATGCCATTCACATTTTGAACTCTGTCCATCATAATAGTTATACTTAATAGATGAGTTACATTCAACACAATAGGTGGACAAAAATGTTAATATATATATATATATATATATATATATATATATATATATATATATATATATATATATATATATATATATATATATATAGTTTAGTTGTATTCTATAAAAATTAAGATTAAGACCCATTATAAACAGTTACTATAAATGATACACAATGTCATTATTTAGATGAAATTATTAGTACGTTGAGTTTTTTAAAAATAAAACTTTATATTTCAACTTATTTTTAAGTAGAGTTAGCCTAGTTGACCTATAAATGAGAAGATTTGTTATTTTGTTAAAAAAACTCCATTTCTGATACATTTTAATTATTTTTTTTGAAAACTACTATATATATATATATATATATATATATATATATATATATATATATATATATATATATATATATATATATATATATATATATATATAGTTAGCAAAGATGGATCGTATTTAGTAATGGAATTTAGGAGGTGCATTTCGTTTTGTTTGGAATTCCAGATGTAACTGACACATCACAAAGTTGATGTTTACTCTAGGGACTACTGATCCAGTGTAGTCTTAAATATCAACTTTGCCATGTGACAGATATATGCACCTGGAGATGAGTTTAAAATAAAAAGAAACTGATGTCCTGATTACTACTGCCAGCGAATATCCATTTCTGTTGATATAGCTTATGACCTAATGTCAATATTGAAGCAATCCGCAGAGGATTCACGTATACCTGTGGTGCGCGCTACTTATAAGTAGTGTATGACGCGAGTGTAAACGTAATGTCTGGCAGCAGAATAGGATGGGGGAAGATCAAGAAAGGAAGAGTGGGAACACAATGGAATTTGTATGAAACTCATGAATAGTGAAATGTCAGACAATGGATTGATGATGGATTGAAGATTTGCAAATTAACGGTTACGATATGGTTTCCTATTTTACTGAGTAACTCTGCAATTTTTGTTAAATACAGTTGCGTTCTCCTTCACTACATACCAAGCGAAACTGATGAATTTTAGTTTCAAACATCAACAGGAAGAATTGAACAACTAATAACAAACGAACTACTATATAATAGCAATGAGAAAATAGTTGGATGATCTATACTGATTGGTTAAACACCAGAATGAGTCATCGTTCGAGATTATTCAGACCAATTAGCATTGTAAATTAGACTCCAAGGTCATAACATTTTTGATGCATTAAACAATAAACTATAATGTTGATTTTTGTTATATATTCTCGATTTAGCAGTACACTCATTGAAAAAAATCTATATCATGAATATTTAACTATTTATAAACTATTCTTACTACAGTCAGTGTTGATTTTATTTCATAAGGAAGTATACTAGAACACGCGGTTATTATCAACATGAATATCACTAGGTATTAAGTTTGTTTCATTGAAATCATGAATCGATTATGGTTAGACCACTATTAGAAAGAAACCTGGAAGCATTGGAAGGCCATCTCATCCTACTGTACGACTCATCAGACGTGTAGCTGTATGACCAGCGCAAAAGGAAGTTGAACCCAGGACCTACGGTCTGATTCGCGAACACTTAACATCTAGACCACTGAGTTTGAATCCAATGGCGTTAATATCTAACTAAAATCGATTTATGATAATGTGAGTTCATTATTCCATTGTCCTCGATTGGTAACCGCTCCGCACTGACACGGGTAAGCTCAATTGGTGACAGTTTCTCTCTAGTATTGCGAGTGTGTGCACAGGTTGGACCATTGAGTCTCATTTGATGGCTTGTACTTATAATTACAACTGTTTCGTGATATAGAGTGATAATACTAGCGTAAATCATGGATATACTTTGCAGTCCCTATCAATGTGATCCATGCAACTTGAACCTTGGCTAATGAGTAGTATGCAGTGGAGATGTAGTGGAGTGTTGCCCAGAAGTTACTGCTAAAGTGAAGTGTGCCGCATCCGGATGTATGATGTAGTTAAAGTATTTTGAATATTAGAATAAGAATTAGTCAGCCAGTAATATGTTTGTTTTGCAAAAGGGAATTTGGAAGATAACGTCTACACATTTTTCTAGTAGACTGTGTCTTCTTCAAAAAATGCACCGATTTCATTTGGTCCTACTGTCTTAATTCATTACACCAGGACAAAACAGTAGCCCAAAGTTTCATGGTTCTTGATTTTTGTAAGAACTATAGAAGTTTACAATATCGTCAAACCTCAGCCATACCAGAGCATTTAGAAGCGCGTTTGATTTTAGTGTAAAAAAATATCAACTCTGAGTTATTTTTTGTAAATTATAATCTCTAGTATTATTTACAAAAACGAAAAGTTACATCAAATCTCTTTTGCGTGTGTGTGTGAGTAAAATGAATCTTTTCACAACACCGAATAAATATTTACTTACTTGTTTAAATGGTGCATTCCCTGTATTCGGATTCACTGGTCTACGGATTGTTTGAGCTTTCGGCGGCAAATTCGGTGTACGTTCATATACAGCATTGATAAGTCTGTAAATTGAGAATTTTTTTTAGATGAGGAGAAATGTAAACATAATCAATCGGTTTTTGCAATGATAACAAATTAGGTTATCAGTTCTAATCAGAAGAATAGTATATTGATATTATATTTGAAATCGACTACGAGAAAGCATTCGATAGCGTGGATAGGAAAACACTGTGGAGGCTTCTTCGACACTACGGTGTGCCTGAGAAAATAGTCAACATCATACGGAATTCTTATGATGGATTCACCTGCAAAATCGTGCACGGAGGTCAGCTGACAGACTCTTTTGAGGTGAAGACCGGTGTCAGGCAAGGTTGCTTACTCTCACCCTTTCTCTTTCTCCTGCTCATCGACTGGATTATGAAGACGTCAACATCTGGAGGGAAGCACGGTATCAACTGGACAGTTAGCACGCAGCTGGACGATCTGGACTTCGCAGATGATCTGGCTCTTCTATCGCACACTCAACAACAAATGCAAGAGAAGACGACCAGTGTAGCAGCAGCCTCTGCAGCAGTAGGTCTCAACATACATAAAGGAAAAAGCAAAATTCTCCGATGCAACACAACATGCACCAACCACATCACGCTTGATGGAGATACCTTGGAGGACGTTAACACCTTCACATATCTTGGCAGCATCATCGACGAGAAAGGTAGATCGGACGCAGATGTGAGGACGCGGATTGGCAAGGCAAGGGCTGCATTTCTACAATTGAAAAATATCTGGAACTCCAAACAACTTTCAACCAAAACCAAAATCAGGATTTTCAATACAAATGTCAAGACAGTTCTACTGTATGGAGCGGAAACATGGAGAACTACGAAAGCCATCATCCAGAAGATACAAGTGTTTATTAACAGTCGTCTACGCAAAATACTTCGTATTCGTTGGCCAGACACCATCAGCAACAACGTACTGTATGAGAGAACAAACCAGATTCCAGTGGATGAGGAAATCAGGAAGAAGTGGTGGAAGTGGATAGGACACACACTACGAAAAGCACCTAACTGTGTCACAAGACAAGCCCTCACATGGAACCCTCAAGGCAAAAGGAAAAGAGGAAGGCCAAGGAACACATTACGCCGAGAAATAGAGAAAGATATGAGAAGAATGAACAAAAACTGGACAGAACTGAAAAGGGAAGCCGAGGATAGAGCTGGATGGAGAAAACTGGTTGGCGGCCTATGCTCCATTGGGGGTAACAGGCGTAAGTAAGTAAGTAAGTAATATTTGAAATCATCAATCAATCATTGTTAGACCACCATTAGAAATCTAGAAGCACTGAAAGACCGCATTTTCGTCCTGGTATGGGACTCATCAGCAGTGCGCATCCACGACTCCCGCTCCAACGCTGTTAATGTCTAATTCTGACTGATCTAACTACCAAAGACAAATGGGTGAGGTCGCACAAAAGCCCTAGACCAATCAGAGTTAGACATTTACATCGTTAGATGCCGGCCCAGTGGTCCGATGGTTAGGCGTTTGCGCACAATACCGAAGGTCCCGGGTTCGATTCCTGCGAGGAGCAGGAGTCGTGGATGCGCACTGCTGATGACGAAACGGCCGTCCAGTGCTTCCAGGTTTCTAATGGTGGTCTAACAATGATTGATTGATGATTTTAAATGTGAAAAAGACACAAACCTCCAAAACTCTGCGCCAAAATTGATATTATTGCTGTGAATTCTGATAGAACTCAGTATTCACAGTTCATTCAGTCTGAATTAACGCACTGATCGGTCAAACTGACTGATTTATTTTCAGGCATATTATAGTTAAAAGCAACTTATACTCTGTAATAAAGACTGTACATGATGCAGAAATGAGAAAACAGGGACATTATATGATAGCCTTTATGTTTTATGTCATTATAACTCAACATATATTGTATACTATACAAAACATAATGATCAGTAGAAACAGGTCCCGGTAATATAACGTCAATACATTACAATAGTAATGAGGTAAACTAACTGTTTCTTCAACAATTTCAGCAGCTCACCAAATGGATTTTTAGGTCAACTTAATGAGTACCATTGTATTCTTTCTTACTCAGTAGTAGGAAAGCATTATACACATTAACGGATCTGAAGATTCTCACTTCGACTGAATGTGAGATTATATCTGTGTGTTCAATGATTCAAACTTAACCACAGAACAGAATAACGATACCATGCTCAATTAGCTGTCGACACTTAATTAAAAATATCCTCTAAAGTTATTCCAACCAATCTGTGTCACCAAATAGACTCAGAGTTTTATCGAACCAATCAAAAATAACTTCTACCAGTTATTGTCTTTCAGGTTAGAGGAAAATTCGTTTAATTCAAACAAATTTAAAATCAATCACCTGGTAACTGTTAAGCATGCCTGTAAACATGTCATTTTGATATGCTTGAACTATTACTAGTTTATCTTAGTCGGAAAACGAGAGTGAGGATCCGGCGACACGGCATGCTACTCTAATCCAAGTGTCCCAACCCCCGTTGAGTGAAAGAAGACTTAATATGAAGTAGAACCTGTATTCTACAAACATACAGAAAGTATGAGGTGCGGGTCCAGAAGAAGACAAGGATCCCTGACTGAGGATCAGGGTCCGGCTTGGTCCATAAAACGTTACAGATAATGCGTATTTATACAGCTAGGTTGAAAGGAAAACAGCATTGAAGTCTGTGACATTGATAATTAAGACGACTAATAAGAAACAACATTGACATTGATATCTAGGACGACCATAAAATTGACCAGTAGGAATTAACCAATAAGAATTGACCAATAAATCTCTTAGGATATTGGATGAATATCCTAACAGTAACTTAGATTGAAGTTATCTGTAACGGTTTCATGTTCACTAAGTATTTCATGCCCAATAGGTACGATCATTTTCGCGTTCATTTGGTGTAAAAGAGAGTAGAATAACTGAAATATGGCTTCCACTAAAGATTTCATTACAAGCCTTAGCCTTGATTTTAGTTGTATGTTTTTAAACTGTGGATTTCGAGGGTTGCGTTGCATTGAACATGTTTATGGCGGCTAGTTAAAAATGACTTTTTTACAAGTTAAAGTAGGATGGTAAATGATGGCTATTGGATGACTGAAATAATCAAATCTATTACGTCGAGTAAGGCTGTTGGTTAGTTTTATATTCTTCATTCTTATCCTTGGTGATATTTATCACAAAATTATTTTAGTTAAGGATATGAGGGCATTGAACTCCACAGCAGTGAATATCCATGAGTTTATCAACTACTGAACCTTAGGCTTTCATTTAGAGCGTTTAACCTCTAGGCCACTACGTTAACATTCATTTGTGATCAGCAGTGACGATCATTTGTGACTACCGGTTCACTCTAGATATGTCTGGACTCCACCAGTCGTGACTTCTCACGGGAACATTTAGCAGTGTTTCCTACCGATCACTTTCAACCATTTAAAGTCAAAATGCGATGCAAGCGATATCAAGTTAATTAGACTAATAACCACACAGCAGTTTAATTGATGTAATTTGACTAGACGAACATGACGTTGGTCGCTATCGATTGATCAATCCTGTTGAGAAAAAACAGTTCTAGCTGCTCAACTTTATTTTTGACGACATACAAAAAACGCAGTTATTTCAATCGCTTACGGGAAAGTTACGTTTAACTACATGTTCCCAACCTATTCAATCTCATTAAACTACCGGAGTCTGGATCCTATTTCAAATGAATACGAACTGTATTTCAATAATCAGCCAACATAGAAGATATCCAGGCCTCTGTTGACATTTGCGTTAAATCGTGTAATCATATATTCTCTTGACATGTATTCTGGCAAGTATTCAATGTTTTCTTATACGGGCTACATCATATCATTGAATACCGTCCATTTATTCGTAAAGGACAAAGCCATTACAATAAAGTAAGGTCACACCAAGGTCAGACAAGCGACGAATGGTGTTTAAACATTGACTGGATAAGTCAGTCATCTTATGAAATAGATAGGATGTGACAAGCAGTGAAATACAAGGCATCCGTTTAGCTATATTTGAGACTCAACTGCAGCTAGATATATCTGTATCTCATTGCGGAGGTTCACAACAGAATTCAAACCCAAAACCTCTCACTCCAAATGTGCAAGGTGCCATTCATTTAGTAATTAAGTTGAAATAGCCAGTCTCTTGTGCATAAAGGAGAATATTTTTATCATTATCAGAGTAGGCATAAAATGAAAGGCACTAGGTTCGAGCTTGATTTTAAACACCAATAATGGAATACAGGTACATTCAGCTGGTAAGTTCTTAGTAGGATGAAATGCATGTTCTGATCTCTACCTTCTGGTCTTGACCGTAGCTGCTAAATTGATATGGTGGTCCGGCTGGCCTATTGTGATGATCCGACTGAGCTATATTGGCTGGAACATATGTTCCTGTAGGTTCTACCATGGCCAGGATGGTCGACTAACGAACGATAAGACTAAAAGCAGCTACTCAACTTCTGAGGTCGAAGTGGTACTGCTGACTGTAAAGGGGGATGACAGAAATAAGGTGTTTCCCTTGAACATCTACAGCGAGACTGCCTCCTCACAATAAAGAAAGGGGTTAAAAAATGTCGACTCTAAAAATGTCAAACCTCACCTTGCCTCACAAATGTCCATCTCCGGCGGTAAGGGCTTTTAAACAAGAGCTGAGCTAATACTTTAAAAAATTCTCATAAAAAAGTCATGCATGATCGACCTCAGGTAGTTGTCGCTTGAGTTGTAAGGTCATTCCCTCAGGTCGCTCAGACCAACTCTAGTCCGATTTTCTTTTCAGGCTTCTCAAGAAATACCCTTCCACAATGTGAGCAGCTTGGAATTGACATCTACCCATACACCCATAACAGCACACGAGACTAAACTCTGACTGCCGTTCTAGTCAGAACTCATGTTTTTCTGTAAACTTATTTTAAAATACCCAAATCAGCAATATCGGAACAAGATGTGCATATTCCAGTGAAGGTCAGTCGAAAATCTAGTCAATCATATCAACAATACAATAATTCAAATTTTTTCCACGGATCATTCTAGAAATAAACAATATTCTTTTCATATTCCAAAGACAGAAAATGAATACATTGATGCGTTTTCATAATTCAGATCACGAATTCATCTAAGCTAGATCACCATTATAAACCTGAGAGGACTGGATGGAACAACAATGGGACTCCTCAGCAGTGATCATCCACGAGCCCGATCTGCGGCAATAGAATCATATGCACAATAGTGACTAGTTTTTAACGGTATACTCCTCGAGTTCTAGGGTCAAGTCGTGACCAGTAGAGTTCAATCCGTTTCAGGTGGGAGGAAGTTATCCACAGCAGGCAGTGGATGAAGTTTGCACAGCATCATGAGTTGGTTGAAGTTAGATGTTATATGCTGAATCCAGGGTTTAAACGTTAATAATTCGCGAGCTAGATCGAAAGATCTTCGTTCGATTCCTTTGTGAGGGTGTCATGTATGCTCACTACTGAGGAGTTCCATACTAGAATGAGACGGCGATCCAGTTCCTCCAGGTTCCTGTTGGTCGCCTAGCTTAGATAAGTTCGTGGTTTCAAACTGACAAAATTTGCTTACAAAAATCACTACCAAAATAAACAACTTCGTATGTAGCCTTTCTAGGATTACTGCCCAATCCAAAGCCTGGATAAAGAAGGAGGCTTGAGCATGGGCTTAGTGGCGACTTCATCCCGTAGGAACCCCACTCGCTAAAATAACGCGCTAACCATTAAAAAAACAATTCACTGGTCGGCGGCCTATACTCCATTAGTGGTAACAGGTGTAAGTAAGTAGGTAAGTAACCAAAATAAACACATTTAACAACAAAGCAAAAGAGATTTATTTTTCTTCTTACTCAACAAGTATTCGACCATTTTTCAATGTTCGTTGAACATTCTCACGTCCAAGTGGAATGCTTTGTCCAGTTAATTGTTGTATCCATCCCATTACTTGACGTTCTGCATCTGGATCGTATCGACTGTTCAACTACAAAAACAGTACAAAAACGATTATACAAAATAAACTGAGTGAACTGTTTTTTGTTGTTATTGATAGTGTCACAGTCTTAGTGATGAATTACATAGTTAATTAATTAATTACTTACTTACACCTCTTACCGCCGATGGAGCATAGGCCACCGACCAGCATTCTCCAACCTACTCTGTCCTGGGCCTTCCCTTTCCAGTTCTGCCCAGTTATAATTGTTCATTCTTCTCATGTCTGCGTAATATGTTCCTTCGCCTCATCATGTCCGACTCTCTTCCTTTATCCTGGATTGGAACTGTCAGTAGCCCCAAAATGGTTCCAGGCAGAGTTCAAACAATAAAATCTGATCAATACTTGCTTACTCTACTCTATATAAAAAGTGTACTTTTCAAGTATTCAACAAGCATTAGGTAAATTCATTCTAATATGATTGTTTCCTTATTGTCTGTTATCTTTTTATCATTTTTCAACTTGTGTCATCAATAGTTATTTCGGTGGTTATTTTCTTCATGAATTAATGTATTTTTTAATTATGAATCAACCTACAATCGTGATCGATTTTTATTGGTAAATTCAGACAAAGCTATACTAACAAAGTCTGCAAGTGGAACTTCACAACAATTGTTCTGAGAATTCCTTTTTCAAAGTGAAAATATTTAAATATATATACATATATATATATATATATATATATATATATATACTTGTTTCGAAACTCAATGAAACACCAAAAACTTTACTATTAACCATGATTTGTTGTTAAATTTTTACTTAACCTACTATTTATGAATCGATCAATAATATATCACCATTAGTGAACCTGGACGCATCAGCAGGGCACATGCGAAACCCCCGCCACTCGCAGGACTCGAACCTCGGGGCCTTTGACCTTGCGTGTCAAACGCTTAACCACTGATCATGAAATGATCATTGTTAGACTATTATTAGAAACCTGGAAATATTGGATGTATGTCTTGTCCTAGTATGGGACTCATCAGTGACAGTGTGCATCCATGATCCTCGTACAAGGGAATAGAACTCAGGAAATTCGGTATTGATTATGAACGCTAGACCACTGAGCTGCCATCGAATGGTAATTATGTCTAATTGTAATCATTACACAATATTGCGCAAACTCACACATTGTCTTCGATAGATAACTGAATCACATTCAATATAGTTGAACTCCACTGGTCATCATAACTTCTCACTAGAATTACAAGAATTTCCCCATGAAGCGCAGATGGTCCTAGTATGTGATTCAATCAATATACATCATCTTATATGAGTAACCATTCAAAAACTAGGAAGTACTTGGCAAGAGTTTCGTCATCGTTTGTGATTCCTCACCTTTTAGTATCCATCTAAGGGACTAAACTTGAGATCATTTGGTTTATAGAAGAATAGACTACAGAAGAAACCTTCAGTGAAACGAAACAGCGAGTCAGTTGTTCAGTGTTTCTTGATTTTCAATAACTTGTCTTTAAAATGAATTCAGTTCATGTTGTTTAACTGTTATTTCAATAATCTTCACATGTTTTATACTCTTAAAAAGAGGTAGATTTACCAAATGAAAAGTTAACATTCTCTTAGTTACTTAATTATTTACCTACGCTCGTTATCCCTAATGGAACAAACGCTACCGACCAGAGAATTATTTTTCTGATTAGCGTTTATCTTAACGAGTTGGATTTCTACGAGATGAGGTCGCTAACCACATCATACCCAAACCCTCCTCCTTTAACCAGGGCTTAGGACCGACTCCACGTGGATTTCACATTCTCTCTTACTGTTTTACATGATTAAAAATGTAAAAAATTATCCTTTTCAGGATAACATTATTATAAATATTTTTTATTCATCTCTGGGATTGGTTAGTATTTTTGTTTAGTATTTCAAAATACAAATTTAGACATGATTACAGACAGTGATAATTTATTTTCACAGCATGGTATATTTACATATTTTTCAATTAGAATTATAGAGATTAGTGATTTTTTGCGCAATGAAATCATCAATCGATCAGTCAGTCATTGTTAGATAACCAGCATTAGAAACTGGGAAGCACTGATAGACGGCCATTTCTTATTGGTATGGGACTACTCATCAGTAGCAGAGCGCATCCATGATTCCTTACTTACTTACTTACGCCTGTTACCCCCAATTGAGAATAGGCCGCCAACCAACTCTCTCCTCGGCTTCCCTTTCCAGTTCTGTCCAATTCTTGTTCATTCCTCTCATATCTTTCTCTGTTTCTCGGCGTAATGTGTTCCTTGGCCTTCCTCTTTTCCTTTTGCCTTGAGGGTTTCATGTGAGGGCTTGTCTCGTGACGCAGTTAGGTGCTTTTCGTAGTGTGTGTCCTATCCACTTCCACTGCTTCTTCCTGATTTCCTCCACCACTGAAGTCTGGTTTGTTCTCTCACACAGTAAGTTGTTGCTGATCGTGTCTGGCCAACGAATACGAAGTATTTTGCGTAGACAACTGTTCATAAACACTTTTGTCTTCTGGATGATGGCTTTGGTAGTTCTCCATGTTTCCGCTCCATTCAGTAGAACTGTCTTGACATTTGTATTGAAAATCCTTATTTTGGTGTTGATTGATATTTGTTTGGAGTTCCAGATATTTTTCAACTGTAGAAATGGAGCTGTTGCTTTGTCGATCCGCACCCTCACATCTGCATCAAATCCACCTTGGTTGTCGATGATGCTGCCCAGATATGTAAAGGTATTAACGTCATCCATGATTCCTACACCTCATCATATATAGTGAACACATATTTCAATAGCGTTTAAAAAAATTATTATTACATTTTTTTTCTAAAATGTCTATTTAAACGTATAATTATTGGTAAAAATGAGCGTCGTGACATTTATACAACACACATATTTTTGAATGTATGAATGGTATGAAATATTTTATCCAAGTGTCTCTCAATCGAAACAGGTGGTTGGTTTTCTTGATGGGGCTACCTTTCCCAAAACTTTGATCAATAAATCGAATCCACAAGGAGATGTACTATCATGTTAACTGGTGACCAACAATCGATACCATCAGGATCCTAAAACCTATGTGTAGCGTTGTATGGAAATCAAGATTTCCAAACTCCCCATAAATAGATCTTCTATACCTACCGATTGGGTTCGAACTCCTAACACAGGCTGTAAATCACCTGTATTTCGAAAACAATAACACCGTTAATATGGACAAAAAGTGAGTAGGACTTCCATGTTAGTGGCTATACACTCATGGTCATCTGGGATCCTTTGGTTAAAAGAGAGAGTGGACTTTCCCCATCCTTGGCCATATCAGCAACAAGCTGCCTACAGGAAATACTAATGATGAGTGAATTAAATAAGCTCCTATATGAAAGAAGCAATTTCATCGATTATAAATTACTTCTTATTCATTTTCTAAATCCTTTTTCTTCACAAAACTTAATTATCAATCGAACAGTCAATGAGTGAGTTACAATATAGAACTGTATACATATGTACATCGGTTCAAGAGTTGTCATATATCTCGTTTACAATGACAAGATGAATTTACAAGAGTTTGCATAAACATACATTTTTCATAATAAATGATTTTAAACTACTTCATTATGATAAATCTCTAGTTGCAGAATGGTAACGATTATCATATCGATTGAAACCAAGGCAGTCTACACCTACTGACATAACTCAGTCTTTTTTAATTTGACCTCCCTCGCAAATTTTGTTCCAGACTATTCTTACCCTGGACAACAGTCACTGAATGAACTAAGTCCATGGAATACTTTAATTTGAATATTGTATTTTTAGACTTAAAACTCATTTCATTGCATGCATAGAAAATAATCTAACTGGCTGTTTCGTCCTAGTATGGGACTCATCAGTAATAGTGTAAATCCATAATGATCCGACGACTTTCGGCTTCAGGAGAGAATGCTTAACATCTAGACCAGTAAGCCGGCATCAAACTTCAATCAATCCATAGTATTGGGCAATTTCACTCATTGTCTTCAGTGAGTAACCTAAACAGGAATGAACTCCACTGATGATGGCCACTTGCTACAACTTCGTTCTATTTTAAGATAGTTTAAGTAATATGAAGCCATAACTCCACACCCTTCATATAATAATCGAGTCAAAACCACATCTTACAACATCACACAACAATCATTGAAAACTAATTGAAAATAAAAATCAATAACCAAACTAAATCACCAATTCATCAATCTATTAGAGTTTAACTTAACAATTGTAGTTTATAACAAACAACTGATTACTTTATAAAAAATATATATCAATAATCATTATTTACCTTTCTAGAAATTGCCACATCAATTCCAAAATCTTGTGTACGAGTAGCCATTTATGAATAAATATTTTAATTAAAAAAAAAATTATTAACACCAATTAATGATAATTGTGTATAATGCTTGAAAGTAATTTGAACTAGAAGAAATTCTAACCAGAAAAAATTTGTATAATAATTAAACAGTCAGCGATTGAAAATTGAAATTAAAGCAGAATGTTTGATTAAAAATTAGCAAGGGCACACACAAAACTGTGTGTATTGGTGATTGATACACCACAATAACACACTACACTTACATACGTACATACACATATACAGACATACAAATGTACAGACTATATATATTTACATACGTGCACACTGACAAGCACCATATTTAGTGTGTAGGGAACAATAATATCCTATAATCGATTAGTTTGATACTTTTGGTGATCTAGACATGTATGGAATTAGTATTCTTCAGTCACATAGTACAATAATTTGATTACTACTACTACATAGAAAATTGTGTACACTATGATTGAATTACACCAATACTAATAATAATCATAAGAATAATTTGAATTACAACAAGCCTTACCCCCTTCGCTCTGTTTCTACATACTACTGGATGAATTGCTCAGTACTACCACTACTACTACTACTAATTACAATGCATACAACATACAACAGAAGAGACAATTTGTGAATTTGCACACCTACGCATTAAAAACACAAAGAAACACAAAATTAGCTTCGTGTTAATGATTTTACGATAAATGAATCTTTTCCTATCTATAAATGGATTTTAGCTATTTCAAAATAAAAAAGAAAGAAAAGTGTCTTCTGAGGTGCAACACACATTTTTTTATTATGTATATATATGTGCGCATACGTGTGTGTGCGTACATCTACCCTAGGAAAAGAACCAATCATATCAAACTTTGATTGATCATTTTTAAACTAACCAATAAGAATAATGATAACAGTAGAAAAAAATTTGTTAATTTAAACAAGACAATGAAAATAAATTTTTTTTATTCAGAAACATATTGAATCAATTGAATCAATGGTATTGTTCTGTCCAATTATTGATTGTACTTTTTGTTCAACAGTTCAATATACATATACATATATATATATATATATATATATATATATATATATATATATGTTTCAAAACAACTGCGGAACATTTTAACCGGGAAATTTGTTCAGACTTGTTTTTGTTTTATAAATTTGGAAAGTGAAACAAAAACTTAGTTGACATTTGTGTAAAATAATAATAATAAGGCTTTCCTAGAAAAAAAAATGTATATGAATTGTACAAAAGAAGGTAGAACTGTTATTCGCAAAAGAAAAGTGCATTGACAAGATTCAAATGAAATATGTAGAAAAGTGTTTAAAATAATAAATGGTCATTTGATCATTAAAAATGATAATTGAAAACTCGTTTGTTTTGCATAAAAAAAATATTCATTGTAGGCATAGTACTTTGTTGTTCAATCTGTAATAAAGGTTAATCCCATTCAGTAATTCATTGAGAAAAGAACTAAATACGAACAATTAACAAGATGGTTGATGTAGTATAAGTATATCTGAGATTAAAGTAAAGAAAACACCGATTAGGCATAGAGAAGATTTGTGTTTTTTTCAAGTTGTGTAGATATTAAGAACTGTCAATAATTAATCTCCATTGGTAAACCTGTTTCCTCAGAGAAATGACTTAAATGCTCGTCATAAAGATAGTCTACTGACATCCAGGGGCTATAATTCAGTCCAGTTCAATGTTCTCACTGTGGATCTAATCGAATGACTTTTAACATGAACAGTAATGTGTAATGCCTTAAAAATTAAATATTCCTACAGAGAGGTAATATTTCAAGTTATCTATTGAAGTTATTTTGCCTATCTAATGAAGAACAAATGAATACAATTTTAAATAATTGAAAAAATTCCAATGACTTCTCGGCGTCCATTTACTTACTTAGTTACTTACTTACTTACTTACTTACTTACTTACTTACTTACTTACTTACTTCGCCACTTACTTACTTACTTACTTACTTACTTACTTACTTACTTACTTACTTACTTACTTACTTACTTACTTACTTACTTACTTACTTACTTACTTACTTACTTACTTACTTACTTACTTACTTACTTACTTACTTACTTACTTACTTACTTACTTACTTACTTACTTACTTACTTACTTACTTACTTACTTACTTACTTACTTACTTACTTACTTACTTACTTACTTACTTACTTACTTACTTACTTACTTACTTACTTACTTACTTACTTACTTACCTACTTACTTACTTACTTACTTACTTACTTACTTACTTACTTACTTACTTACTTACTTACTTACTTACTTACTTACCTACTTACTTACTTACTTACTTACTTACTTACTTACTTACTTACTTACTTACTTACTTACTTACTTACTTACTTACTTACTTACTTACTTACTTACTTACTTACTTACTTACTTACTTACTTACTTACTTACTTACTTCCTTACTAACCTGATTACGCCTGTTATCCACCACGGAACATAAGCCGTCGACAAACATTCTCCAACCTACTCTATCTTTGGCCTTCCTTTCCAGTTCTGTCCAATTCTTGTTCATTCTTCTCATGTCTGCCACCATTTCTCGGCGTAACATGTCCTTCGGTCTTCCTCTTAATCTTTGACCTTGAGGATTCCAAGTAAGGGCTCATCTTGTAACTCCTTTCTCAACCCTCCTTCTTTATTCAGGCTTGAAGTTTTAGGCGGTGTTAGACAAGTTTAAGACAAATCGTTTATTCGTATGCATATGCCTGGTTAACTTCTTATTAGTTCATCAAATGAATGTTCATGTTCCCATGTCTCTTGTATACTTCAACCAAACAAAATTTTGCAATTCTAATCGTTCAATAGACAGCCTACTTCTACCTGAATTTTATGCTGTTGATGTGTGTGTTCAGAAGTAAACAATAGAATCTCTACAACCAAAAAATATCCAGTTCTAAAAATGAAACTCTCTTACAGCTGTAGTGAAGGAGAACACAGGTGAGGGCAACCGAATTGTATTTAACGAAAATTCAGAGTTACTCAGTAAAATAGGAAACCATATCGTAACCGTTAATTTGCAAATCTTCAATCCATCATCAATCCATTGTCTGACATTTCACTTATTCATGCATTTCATACAAATTCCATTGTGTTCCCACTCTTCCTTTCTTGATCTTCCCCCATATTCTGCTGCCAGACATTACGTTTACACTCGCGTCATATACTACTTATAAATAGCGCGTACCACACAGCTTTCATTTCATAGACAGAGGAAATATGTTTCCGCACCACAATGATACTAAATAAGACAGTTGTCGAGGAGTCGCTCAGGATTTTTTTAAACATGTCATTAGATTTTTTCATTTACAAAAATTACTTTTTACTTTATCAACACTAGTTTTTTTAAAAACAATCCATGACTTCTTTGAAAATAAAAGAATAACGAAATCTAACTGAATGATATCTCACTACAACGTATTTAAAATTTTGTGACATATCAGCCGAGTCACTTAACTGATTGATTTAAAGTCTTCAATGTATCAGAGAGCTTTTTCGTAAAGAGAACCAATCATTGATCTGTATGTGGAACTCATAACAACCACCAAACAACACCAACGTCACAATTGTCAATACAAATGTCAAGACAGGTGGTATACGGGATGTGACAGAAACTTGCAGAGCTACTAAAGCCATCATCCAGAAGATGCAAGAAAATGACTTTGGATTCGTTGGCCATACAACATCAGTAGCCACCTACTGTAGGACAAAACAAGCTAGATTCCAGTGGAGGAATAAATGAATAAGAAGCTCTGGGAGTGGATGTGACACACATTGCAAAAAGCAACCGACTGCGCCACAAAACACTTGGAACCCTCAAGGTCAAAGGAAAAGAGTAAGGCCAAAGAATACATCACACCGAAAATTGAAAGCAGACGTGAAAAGAATGAACAACAGTTGGACAGAACTGGAAGAGGAGACCGAGGACACAGTAAGTTGGAGTATGCTGGTCGGCGACCCAAGCTCGATAGGGGGATAACAGGCGTAAGTCAATAAGTGATTGATGTGAATTATAAAGATTGTCATAACCTCTTGATTATGAACTACTTGAGAATTCTCTCTAATTAAATATTTTTCTTGTTGCTCAATATACACTGAAATAATAAGAAGTTGACTTTAAATCGCGTTTCTTTGATTTTGTTTCCCGCTTTAACAATAATATCTTTCCTCTCAAAGTAACATTTATCTTATGTGTGCGAATGCCCGTACGTGATACTGATTGATATACCGTCTAAATACAATCCTAAAACTGTCTACTAAGTGAGAAGATTAATGCTATACAACAAAGTTTATTGGATTATACAGAGCAAAATACACGCGCGCTCATATATGAAATAATTTCTTGACCAATGAAATGTATTTGTCATACGATGTTTTTGATTGGTACAAAATGGCCTTCTCACTTGGTGAATTTTGATTGGATCACTGTTTCACTGTACAAGAGATTTTTCTGAGTGGTAAAACGGTTGAACGTTGAGTAAATTTAGACATAAACGTAGGAATGATGCTGAAAATTTAAATTTGATTTACATAAGACACTGTAAAAGATTTGAACTAATGAAACTTCATCATTTGAGGTGGTTGGGACATGTGTTGTGTATGCCTAACCACCGACTGCCTCGTCGAGCTTTGTTTTGTAGTGTAGGAATAGGTTGGAAGAAATTAAGGGGTGGCCAAACCAAAACATGACAGAAATCCATGAAGTCATTGACGAATGGACTTAGCCATGTCGGTAATTGTCGTCTACCTGGTTGGGGTCCGCGAGATGATAATAATCGATGGTTAGAGACCTTGAATGACATGGCTCAAAATCGTTCGCAATGGCGCCGGTGTATTTATTCTCTGTGTTCTCTCAAATCCTAATCTTCTGGATTCGTCAACACCTCTACCTTTGTCTTTCCAAACTTTCCTCACTGAATCATACTTCTTCAATAATATCTTTTAATCCTTACCTGTCCTCTTACTTCTAATACCTTTACTACCTATGCTACTATTGGATTTGAATTGACAATTACATCTCCGTGCTGATGTGATATTGCAACATGAACTGATGTACTTCCGTACGAAGTTCTACGTTGCATCTGACTGACTAACTGGCTGACTGTAAAAGATTGTAAATTTATTCTCTGTACTGAACTCTGGATTTCACATCATG